CTTATCACAAAACTACCAGAGTAGGCACAGTCACAAAATTATAGAATTAAAGAGGTGGAAGAGATCACAGAACTTATACAGTTAAAAACCCTCACTGCATGTATCCCCTCCAAGACTCTCCCAGTAGACACTTGACGGTCAGCTTCTACTTCTACATTCTTCCCTGCTAAACTGTAAGTCCATGAGATCCAAGACTCTGTCTTGCTTAACATTGTGGCATACTGAATAATATACTATAGTCAATAAATATTTCTGAGTGAGTGAATGAGTGTTCTTATGGGGGAATTGCACCATTCATGCAGTAGTACCCATAGTACCCATTCTTGTAGAAGAGCTCAAATTTGAGAAGTATATATATATATATATACTTTCTTAAGGGCATTAAGTCACCTCTGGTGTCTCTGAGAAATCTGCCCCCTCTTCTTACGTAAGTCTTGCAAATACTTGCAGGCAGCTCTTCCAAGCCACACTCTCCTATTTCAGTCCGCAGTTTGCCACATATCATTGTTTCCAAGACTTTCTACTGTGCCCTATATGAGCTACATTTGGTCAGTTCTTGTTTTAAAAAAGCTTCTGGCACCCAGAATGAGATAATTATTTACCTAGCCAGACTAGGGGACAGGGTTCTCTGACTAAATCTATGCAAATCCCTCGCATTGGGAGAAAAGCTCTTCAAATGGCAATATCATGCTGATGAGGGATCTTTCAGAGAACACTGTAGGTAAAACCTTGAACTCCCCTAGCAGACTTCATTAATCTATTAAGGACACCTTTGTGAGGGGCTAGGACACCAAGAGAGAGTGATGTATTATATTCCTCATGCAATTAAACCCATAGTAAAATATTTTGGGGAGTTGTTTTTTCTGAATGGAGGCTAAGAAAGCATTCATTAAACCTGGGAAGTTCTAAGTCTTCCAGTTTGCATAGTGAATTAGAACTGTGGTAGCCTGAATATGAATGGAGCTGTGGTAATTCAGTAACATGAACCAGGAAATGCAGTTTAATTACCGCAGATACTTTTTTTTTGAAACATAAATTGCTTCTACTTTTGTGTCAATATTGGATTATGAACCCATTCACTTTAATGTTGTGTAATGAAGCCTACAAAGCAAGTCATAAAAATGCTTTGTTTGCAATGCTGTTTTTAGAAATTCCAATCTTATGGAAAAACCGTATTATTATTGAAAGCATTTGTAGTTCTCCCAGAATCCTAGAAATTGAAACATTCCTGAGCACTTAAGAAGGTCCTTCCTACCTAGTTAATGAACGAGAGAAGAAATATTCCTCAAGTTACCTCAAATCTATTGATCTGGAACACACAGTTTTTTACTAGTAATCTAAAGCATAATTTAATCTAGAAATGTCCCAAAATATACATCTGAAAAAAAAGATATTGATTTGAAGTGACAGTCTAGTACCAATAACAACTTAAGAAAAAACACTTTTTATAAAATTATATTTCTGTCATTAAAAAAATATCTGAAGAATAACAATTTCACCTTAGAAAATCAAAAGGTAAATTTTAAGAATTAATAGTGAATGAAAATTAAAGGAACAATAACAATCTATTTTTTACTTATTAGATTAGCATAAAGTTTAAAAAGCAATAACATTCATAGTTAATGATGATAAATCATCCTCAGACTTTGGACATTGGAGTGTAAGTTGCTACAAAATGGAGGAAATAATTTGGAAATGTGTATTAAAATCTAAAATATGCAATCTATTAACTGACAATACTACTTTTGGGACTCTCCCTTGTCATAATCAGTAACATGTATATCTCATATAAATGTATAAAGGTGTTAATTGCCGCATTGTGTGTCACAGGGTAATACTAGAAATAAATCTGAATATCTATAATTATAATTAATAAAATAAAATATTATTAAACTATAAAAAACATAAATTAGATGTTGATGTTAATACTGGAGGAATCTCCTTGAATTAATGATAAAAAGTTGGAGAATAATATACAGAACATAGTCCCTTTTCTGTAAAACCAAACAACAACAAAAAAACCTTTAGATGTGGATTTGTATATTTGCATAAGAATGGAGCTTTTAATATTGATTACCTCATGGTAGGGGCAGCACTAACAGGTACTTAAGATCTCCGTAATCTACATTAATTCCCTCAAAAGCCACTCCATATAAACATAAAAAGATGCACACACACACAAATGTGTGCTTGCTATTTGCACAAAGCTGCAAGAAGTCTCCCATTTATTTCTCACTCTCCCTCAAGTCACAACACCTATACATTCCTACATGGAAATTTGAAAGTTGCCATAGCTTCAGGAAAGTGAATAAGAAAAAAGATTACTTTCATATAAATATTTTTCACTTTTATAAATTGTCTTGTAATACTTTTGGAATTTAAGATAAAATTCTAAAAAACAAAAAGATTATGGTGGAAATGTTTAGGAATTTGTACCACTGTGTGTCATCTCTTTTTAGGAAGAAAATTCATTGTAATTATTTTTTAAAATAGAAGAAATGTTGCTCTTTTTTCATCAGTTTGTTCAGTCCATATTCCTATCCTAGCATTTTTCTTTATCTCAGAACTATATCCAAAGTCTAGGCATTGTTAGCTCTGTCAAATCTAGCAAGGGTAGGCATTCTTCTTCAAAGCACTCCATATTCACTGTGTTCTCACCCTCTCTTCAAAGTTTATTCTCTAGCATTGGCCTCCAAGTTCACACACCATATTTTTCACACAAAGAACTTGGCCACTAATATAATGACCAATAGGACCATGTGTTAGAATCAGATGAGGTATCTGAAGTAAAAATAATATATGAACTGCAAAGTATTATGAAAGTGAGGATTCCATTGAGAAGATTATTGAAATAGGCCAACTACAAATTGATGGATCTCTGAAAAGGATACTTTTAAAAAACTCCACAAATCTAGTACTGGATAGAGCCGTAATCTCAAAAACATAAATTGGAGGGTTCCGAAACTCAACTACACAAGGTTAAGAATACAGAACTTGGTAAATTCATTTTAACTCACTTTAAGCTTATATTAGTTTTGTGTAGATTTTCTCTTGTTACTTCATTATTTTTAGCACTATTGTAATTAGACATTTGGGATACATTTTTAGTGGACTGTAATTAGACATTTGGGATACATTTTTGAGTCTTTAAAGACTCAAAGCCAAATGCTCTAGAAGCATTTACATAAATAAGAAATAATCTAAATATATCATTAATTATATTAAAATGCATAACATATATATGTATATATAACATAGAACATATATATATATATATATATATATATATATATATAATGGCATATATTTAGTTTAGATAGTTTTTCCAACTCTGATGGTAATTTCCAATTTCTGAAAAATTATCCAGTAGGGGTTGCTTGGCATAGAAAGAAGGAGACGTATGTGTATTAAGACCACTGAATGGGGCTGCGGTGGTAGGACTGATGTACCTACTTATAAACCTGGGTCATATACTTCCTTTCTCTTTGTTTTAGTTTACTCACTTTCTAAATTCAAAGGCAGTAAACTCTAGTACCTGTAAGATAACTTCCTTCTCTAAGATTTTAGGGTTTTATAATTTAACTGTATCACTTTCCAATTACAATTCTACTTCAAGCTGAAAAGAAAACCATAATATCACTTTTTCACGTTGGCAAGTTTAGTTCATATAAACCATCTTAAGAAATACTGATATGATGGCACAAAAGAGAGTGATTATTGATAGCAATCAATTCATTGAATACATTAATCAAATTGTTCTAATGTGCGCCAAGCTTTCACAGGCTTTTTTCTTTTTTTCAAACAAAAACTGAAAAGTCTTGGAGAAATCACACATGAATATAATAATCATTTATGTGATTCTACCCGTCATCGGCTTTCCCCTTCTACCTGAAAATTAAAACCTCTCCAAGTAACAAGAGTTTTACTATAATATTCAGGAATAAGGTTATTCCTGGACTAGGAGAATGTAGGGAGAAATGAGCCTCTGTTTTCAGCATCCAACCTCTGAGCAAAGGATCTCCCACCACCTGCTGCTTCCAACAAGTCCAAACTCCGGCTCCAGCTAGCTTTCCTGGGAACAGAGCAGAAAACTGGAAGGGAGGGGAAGAAGGTTGGTGACAGCAAGAGGCGGAGAGTGAGGAATGGGAGGCTGGAGGAGGCGTGGCCCGGCTTGGGGCCGTCGGGATAAATACTGAGAACTGGGTGCGGGGTGTGGGGAGAGAACTCTGGAGGAACGCTGAGCTGAGCAGCACCGAGGACAGCGCCCGGCAGCGCCCGCGCCCAGGTCTCCCTCCGCAGCCCTGACTCGCGCACACGCTGAGCTTTGGCTCACACCCCTCTCGCGCGGACACAGATACACACGCATATCCACACACCCAGCCACACACCCCGCTGTACAATGGCAGAATCCCACCTGCAATCATCCCTCATCACAGCCTCACAGTTTTTCGAGATCTGGCTTCATTTCGACGCTGACGGTGATTATCTTTTCTCTTTTTAACTGTTTCCAGACCTGTTTCCATGCTCCTTCCCATTCTTTGCCCTCCTTTGAGCCTCCTGATCCCATTATCCCTCCTTTCTATTCTTTACTTCTTCCCCCTTAGGTCTAATCTTATCTTCTTATCTTCCCGACTGGCCGCCAAACCCTCACCCTGAAAGTTTAAATTGTTTCCACCGTAATCCCCAAACCTTAAACTTTTGTCTTTCCAGGAACGGTAATGCTAGAAGGAAAGAAAGAGCAGAAACTGGGGGACACTGCCCCCCAAAGTTTCTGTGACTGCGCTCAGCACCCCAACCATCCTCCTTTGCCCTCAGTGGATCTAAAGTTTGATACTCCAGGAGAGGAGCGCTGCCGCGTCTATATGCTTTGCTGGTTAATCAATGTCCAGGGAGGAGCGAGCCTCTCGGGTCGCCAGAAAGATAACTCTCTTGGAAAGTGAACGGGAAAGACACTCAGAATGAGTTATCTGACACCTGGGTGCCTCTTTGTCTTTGCAGGAAGTGGTTACCTGGAAGGAAAGGAGCTGCAGAACTTGATCCAGGAGCTCCAGCAGGCGCGGAAGAAGGCTGGATTGGTAGGTTCAAGCTTGCGAAAGAGGGAAAAAAAGACCTTCAGTCCCCAAATTAAAACATTCTTGTGTTTTCAGAAAAAGCCAGCAGGGTAAAGCGCTTTCTGGGTTATGTAAACGTTTGTTGACTGTGAAAGGAAAGAAAGAACAGTTTTCCTACTCGCATAGGGAGAGAGGGGAAGGGAAAAGAGACAGAGGCGGGGGGAGGGGGAGGGAGGGACAGAAGAAGGGAGGGAAGAGGGAGAAGCAGAGACAGCGAGAAAGAGATTTTCTAAAGGGAAAAACCTTGCTATCTGAAATCAGAGTTTTAAATATATATATTCTATACTAGTATTTGCTTTAATAGATATTCAAAGAAAGAAGTGTGGGTGCGTGAGATTCTTTAGCGTATCACCACATCTACCATTGAGTTTGATTAGGTAATTTTTAACTTCTCTTTTACTGCGTGAAAAATAAGGGGTGGAAATGCATTTCTGCCCCTTGGTGGTCAAGAAACAGATCTGCAGATTATGGATCTCTTACTCTATCACCAATTATTATTGTTGTGATGTTGATGTAGTTGGGGAGATGAGAAAACATCCTGCCTTGACCCTCTTCACTAGGGGAAAGTTGCCCAACTTGAAGCGTAACTGAATTTAGCAAGAAAAGGTCTTCATTTCTGTTGAAAGCAAGAAACCCAAAAGGTAGAGCAGTAAAAAGTAAAACAATTTTTAAAATTTCATGTATTGTAAAAAAAAAAAACAAAGCGAAGTGATACTCTGATAGGAAGCAATTGATGGTGTTTTGAAAATGAGCTATGTTGGTTATTTAAGCCATTAGTTAATTAAACAAATGACAATTCTTATTAATTGTAAATGACTCCCTTTGATCATAAGTTAACCTGTTAAGAAAACATGTCCGCATCAAAATAAAATATAATCAGTTTCTAAACATAGATGAGATAGTTGTCTAGAGGAAAATGGGTTAAAAATTGTACTACTCTACTGAGGTTTATGTAACACGGTCTGAGAAGACAGTCTTGAATTGGGATAGTTACATGTTAATGGTCTTTGACCTTTTTGACTATGTTTAGAAAGAGATTTTACATTACCAATGATGTATATATCATACAGCAGATCACCACCTCTAATATTGAGTGATGTATATAAAATTTAATAATAGAATTATCTCTTTGTGCTATCTAAATTGAAAATTGTGTAATATACATCTCTGTACAGCACATTCAAAAGAATCCCAGAGGGCTCTAAATGTATTATAATTCATTACAGAACTCAGAACTATCAGTTACAAAAATCATTGACCAAATTGACTTTAAACTAGATTGTGCTCTAGGGATTGTTTTACCCAGATTTAATATTATATAAATCTAAAAGCATAACAGAATGGAATAAAAGAGCATTAAAATATTTTATATACTCTCTACCCTCCCAATATCTTATATATTGCCATGTAAATAAATTTATGCAATACTGTCATTATAAACCTATGTATCTTTCGCTAATCTAATAAAAGCAAGTATCTTCCTTATTTAAAAATACATGTTTTAAAATCCAGTTGGAAAAGTCTTACTTTCCATAAAATTTAGATTTAAAACCTTGGAAGATGCTTCCAGCAGCTAAATGATTATATTTCAATTTTTCCAGAAGTAATTTTAATATTGAGATCTATTTTCATCCTAGAAATTTAAATATTCATGAACTTTAAAAAATTGTTTTCTTTTCTTCCTTTTACTTTATACTATTTGTACCTTTTTGTAAACAATGTCTTCATGTTGGAGATTTAGAGTTTAATTATTTTTTCTCTGTTTTGGAATATTCAAACCTCCAATTATTAGACTATAATGTAATAATAGTAAACAAGCATAGTTATAGAATCATAACAAGTTGCTTAATGCCTTATTAGTATTTTTCTGGATTGTAAATACAATCTAGATTTTTCTGAATTGAGTATTTTTCTTGATTTGGGTAGTTAAAATCTAAACCAAGATCTGGATTCTGAGTTTCATATAATAGATACATGTTTCACTATATTGCCAACTTCACTGCAGTAAACCTACTCTTATATATTTCTTCTCTTTCTTAATAACACAAAGATTGACCTTATAAACCAGAATTGTTGCATGTCTAGCCATAGGATAACAGATTTTATTGAATTAATGGAAACATTGTTTGGCTTTTCATATTAATAACATGAAATTTCCAAATTTTCACTAGATGAATATAACAATAATGCAATTTAACAATGCAATATATTTTCAGAAACTATCCTTTTACACTAAACATAGTGTTTGGTCTTCATATTTGCACTCATTTTTATACATTTATAATTGGTGGTGATGATGATTATATGTTTTGTACTGTTTAAAAAATAGATTTTGACATACTTGTCAGAAACTTCACAAACTAAATGTCAAGTCTGCTACTTAAACTAGTAGTATTACACCATTTTAAAATTTAAGGACAGATGCTTTGGTTTTTGTTTATGTTAAGGTATATGTGAAAAAAAAAAAAGTAGGAAGTGATATTCCCACTATTCAGCAAATACAAATTGTAATTTATCTACAGTAAGTATTTTTAAAGACTAAAATACAATTAAATTGCTTTATTACTGTTTATTATCTTAGTTATACTAAAGATGTTTACATTTTCCAAACAGATTTGTAAATACTAGCAATAATGATATTTAGTCTCAATATAGCCTTAAATTATATTAACCTATCTATCCCCAGAGCAATCTTGTGTGGTAGATAATACCACCATCTTGTTAGCTACAATGAAAACTGAGACCTTAATTTGCTTTCCCAAGGACGTGGAATAGAACATTAGTAAGGGCTGACCTATTTTAAATAGGCTTCAGTTAATGCAACAGGGCTATTTTAAATGGGCTATGTTGGAGACCCAAGGGTAAAAACTAAACCTCCTGAACACCAGCTCTATGTTCAGAACACTAGTTTATAGTTCATAGCGCTCTACTTAATTTTTAAATGTATTTAATTGATGAATTCCTCTTTTATGCTTAAAACAATCTTTGCTTACAAAGTGAGTTACTCTTTAACATTCACACTTTTTGCTTGTTCAAACTGAAAACATGTATTACTTTTTATAGATAAAACATTAAGTTAGAATAAGAAAAATGTTATAAGATGAGATAGTATAGCAATACAAGATAATCTTTACTGAAGCGAGCAATGTTGAAAGTATATTGATGGTGATTATTATATTTAAATTCACTCAAAGTTACAAATTGAATGATTCTGACTATACTTTCAAAGGGTAGCATATTCTCAAAATTAATAATAGAAGATAAATCATAGTAATTGAGAAATAATCATCATGATTATAACTCTTTTATTTGGAACTAATAAATACTGCATATCAGTTATGCCTTTAATTTTTATGAGACTAGTTCATCAGTATGCATAATTCTAAATGGTTCTAATTTTCATTTTTCTTTGCAGTAAGTTATTAACACCATCACAAGCATAACTGGGAATTTTTTTTATAAACTTCTTACCTGCTTTTATATAATTTTAGGAGTTATCACCTGAAATGAAAACTTTTGTGGATCAGTATGGGCAAAGAGATGATGGAAAAATAGGAATTGTAGAGGTAAGGAATTTATGAATTTTTCTGATTTAGTTTTAATAAATGAATTTCCATTTTGAAGTTGTATTCAAGTCAAATATAATATAACAAGATCCATTCAGAAAGGTTTATTTTACCTAGCTAATACATTATCTTCTGTTCAGAAGCATGCAGTTCAAAAATATTCAGAAATGAAAAGCATCTAAGAGTTTGCCTAACCCAGGACCTAAATTTCACATATTACAAAATTGAGACCCTGGAGAAATAAAATGGTTTGTCTCTGGTCATACAGCTGTTTGCTGGCACAGCTGCAGTTAGAGGAACAAATCCTGACTTCTAGATGAGTATCGATCACATTCCATTACCCAGCCTCACTTCAATACAGTGTCTAAGCACATGGTCCATCAGTATTTCCTATCACTTAACAGTGTAGACTTGACTTGTAAAATATAAAGTAAAATGTTTGCAGTTCCCATGAAATATTTACAATCCTTATTTTTCATGGCAAAAAGCTGCATCCTGGTTTGACAATTGGCCTTAGTAAAAACACAAGAATTTAACTAAAGTGAGTGAATATTTTATGATCTGTTATAGGTACAGATTTCTTATGAGTCTCTGAAAGTTAAAACTGTGGGTGTCAAATCTTATCCTTTGACAATGACTTTTCCTATTAAGGGCAACTTATTTTTGTCTGTGAATCAAGGAAGCAAAACGGATTATGCATCAATTCTTCTGCATTCTCAGATTTGTGAGAGCTGTTACTTCCCTTTCCAGCCTGTGGTGTCTCAGCCTCTTTCTTATCTCTGCAGCCTATTAGAGAAATTGGGTGGAAGCCTTTGTCTAGAAAAATTAATAAGGTCATAATTTAAAATATGCCAAATCGTAAGCATAATTATGTTATTTATATACTGTTTCTCAGTGTATTAGATTGTAAAGTATTCTGGCTCTCAACATTCAGGAATAATTTACCTTTGATTCAGAGAAATAACCTGGTTTTCAAATAATTGATCTTATAGGACACTTGTGATGCCAATATGAAATACACTTACTTTTAAACAGCTACTACAAATTGAGTTAAGAGAGGACATACTATTATTATCTTTGTAATTAAAATTTTTCCCTGGAGTACATACTTTCCCCTTTACCTATGTGTAACTCATTACTATATAAATAGATAATAGTAGTGGGACTTACAGATTGACATATAGGCCAACTAATCAAGATATAAAACCATCAAGGATAAGAAAATAACTTTTAAATTAAACATAAATGAGATGAGGTAAATCTAATTATTCAAAACTAGTTTGAAAATATGACATCAGTGAAATTACGGATTGGCTCTTTTAGAATTTGACATACTTTATAATCCTAGTAAAGGAAAGACTGTCACCTTACATTTAACATACTTCACCTTGAAGGACTCTAATGGGCTCAGCTATTTATTCAATTTCATTTCTTCAGCAATACTAAATTGTGCAGTAAAAAGCATTGATGTGATTCACATGGATTTTACATTTTTAAAAGGATAAAATGGATGAGCATGTTTTGAATCCAGGTTTTACTTTATGTAATACAGTCTAATCATTTATGACTTATTATTTGAGCTCTATTTTGAATGAGAGGTTAGAGGCCATGTAGCAGCAGCATTGTCCTGGAGGGTTATTGAAGGAAATTTCCTCAGAAGTTTTAGAAAAGAAACTGTTACAGAAAAGAAAAGGCTTTCTGTGTTAGGAAAGATAGAGAAATATAGATAACAGAAGAGGATAGAGAAGGCAATGAAGTCTGAAATAAAGAGGTGAAAAGCTTTTATAGCAATAAACATAATAAAAGAACTCACATTTGTATAAAATTATAAAATTTACAGAGCGTTTTCAATTATGTTATCTCATTTGATCTTCATGATAAGAAAATTAAGTAAATTTAAATACAAAATAAAGATCTATTTTATAATTGTGGCATGCGAAGCTTCAATAGAATTTGCCTAAGGTCACAGAAAAAGTAAGAAATAAAGGGTAGAACAGTCAGAACCCAGCCATGTTCCCCCAAACTACTCTGCCTTTTTTTAATAATAAATAATCTGTACATTTTCTGCATTAAAAGGAAAGGTTTTCAGGCTTCAGTTGGTTGAATACTTATGGCAAGGTTCTAAGTTTAGCCGGGTTGAATAGGGATGCACAAAGTGTTCTGCAGGGAAGTTATTTGGGCAAAGCACTTGAAACATGATTTCAGCAGAACTTTTGATCAGCTGAAGCAGAAAGAATTTAAAGGGAGACAAATGAGATACATATAAACTGATTGGAAGGTTTTAGTGTCCCAGGACATGGAACTTTTTGCTAGATGAGACTCTTGGGAAGAACTAGCCAACATTTCTCATTTTAAGGAAGAAGAAACTGAAGCCCGAAAAGGCCAAATGATGTATCCAAGGTCCCACTGGCAGGGAGTAACAAAGTCTATATACAGACTTAAATCTCATTCTGATTCTAGAACTCTTTTCATTAACCTGAGCTATCAGCCAAGACATAGGAATAAGGCATCTGGAAGAAGACATTAGTTTGAGAGAAGAGAACTGGAGAATAGGAGAATAAATAGGAGATTGCTTCCACAGTTGATATGCGTGTTGATTCACTCTGTGGTGGTTAAGAGTGAAGAAAAGAGAAATTCTGAAAATAATTGGGAAATAGTTATTAAAAGTTACAGATTACATGTAGAAAATGGGGAGAGGGGAGGAGGAAATGTATGAACTTACATTGTGCTCTCTAGCGTCGCCAGAAAGTTGTATTAAATGAAGTTCATCCTTTCTTTTTCCAATTTGATGTATATCACTTGCTTAGAAATCCTATAAATAATATAGGACATAAATACATAAATTCTAGCCAGTTATAAAGGAATGCAAAATCCTATGTTTTCTAAAATTTATAATAGTCTACCTGTTGACATCAAACACAGATTAACTTTGGTAATCAAAGGGGAAACTAGATGGATTTACTTATATGTTAAGCTCATTTAATAGTTGTACTCACAAACTCATAAAAATCTAATCAAAGTAAACCAAATGATACTCATGCAGTAGTCTACTCCCCTGATGGAACAGGCCAATTGGTTTGTCTCTGAAAGATGCCATTCAAAAAATTAGAAAATGTAATGGTTAACTTTCAAACTTCTGATTTGATAAAGTTAACTGACACTTTCTAACAACATGCATTTGCTACCTAGAAACAAATATGTTTCTTTCTGAACTTTCTAATTTCATGTCTTTAAATAGATTTAAAAATTCACATAAATACAGTTCAGAAATAAAGAGATTGTTAATACAAACCCAAAACAGGAGCATTCAAATTCTGAGATAATTTAACAAATAAAGTGATGGTCAAAAACTGTTCTAAATTTATTCAGACTAATAGCTCTACCACAAAGAGGGCTTATTAAAATAATTAAAAAGGAAGACTGAATGATTTAGCAGATAATAGACCTTTCTTCTCTGGTATTCACATGAAATGTAGGTATTTCTCTTAAATGGATGTCAAATCTATAAGTTTTTCACCTGATTCTTTGAGCAATGTGTGACAACCTACCGTCCTCTCCATTCTTACTGTTTCTATTTGTCCAGGTCAGTGCATCCACTGAAAAATAGACCTAAAAGCTATTTTAATCCTAAAACTGTAACAACCCTCCCAGGGAAGCAGCTCTTCTCCAGCCTTTCCCTCTTTTCATCTGCAATGGGATTTGAGCCTGTGAGTTTAGCCATGGTGAATAATAATTTTTCATGGAAGACTCTTTTCCACCTCAGATTTTGAGGAAATGACTGACAATGAAATCCGATTTTAAAATTGTCTCTGCATGGATTTTTCTAAATAATTTATTAGGAATGTTTTTATTGAAGATTTTAATGGAGGGTGATGAAGGTAAGGAACAGAGTCTAAAAGCCAAGAAAGTCAGACTCACTGCCTTCAAATCTGGCTCCAACTACAATCTATGTGACAGCAGGGCATTTACCCTCTTTGATCCTGTTTCCTTGGCTGTGAGCAGGAATGACAATGTATTAACTTCATAAGGTTGTTAATGATTATCGGTATCAAATAATGTGTGTTGAACAAATAGCTCAACCCCGGCACACTGTAAAAACTCAACAAATGTATTTTCAATTATTGTTACATATACAATAACTTACTAGAAAATCTACCCCAACTTCTGAATGCCAAGCTTTTCCCTCACTTCTTATATAATTTGTCAAATTCAAATTATTAAATTCAAAGAGCTTTACATTTTTGATAGTTATTTACCTTTCAGATTTTCTGGACTTACTTCTCACTGGCTAGGGAAAATGTTTTTCCGATTCTCAAGTGAAAAAAAATGAATGCTTGGCTAATACATGTTCAAGAATGTCACCATACCATGATTGTCTTTAAAAGCTAGGAATTCTGCCTCATGTGCACTGTGATGTAATTTATATCACTAATGAAGTAGCCTTTCATGTATCCTCTCCTCACAACTAGAACTTAGCTTTATTGTTGTATTTATCACCTGCTTTGAAATTGTCAGGGGAAAAGTTGTTTGAAAGTATCTGTCTCCCTATACGGTTCTCACTAGTTGTGACTGTGGTCACCAGCACAGTGCCTTATATTTAGTAGCCAAATGAGCCATGGCAAGGGATTTCAACTTACTCCAAAACATCAGGCAAGGGCTCTGTATTATGCTAGAAATAAAATAGAGATGTAAAGACCCCTGTTATGGGTAGAGTTCCCTGGGAAGTAGAACTGAGTGGAAGAGCAGCAATGAGCAGGTTTATTAGGAAGTGCTCTTGGGATCAGTACCCCTGGGATAGTAGTGAAGAGAATAGGTCTGGGCAGAGGGAGAAGCCAGGCTGTGACACAGTCTCAACAGAGACATCAGCTGACCCTACAGTGAGTTCTGAAGCTGGGATGACCCTTCCGGAATGTCTCTAGTTTTGAGTGAGAGGATTGGGCCTTTATATCCCGTGCTGATCAGTCATAGGATACCACCTCCTTGGGGACGCAGCTCTCTTCACTCCAGGTATTCCTTCAATGGGCCCTGACAGGTGAGGCTGCAGCAACACTCCCAGCACTTGAAGGGAGCGCTGGCATATCACAATGTCCACCCCAACCCCTATTCACAGCTTAGTAATAAGTTTTTGAAATTATCTCCAAAGGAACTTTACCTCCATTTATTTACAGCCTATCCTGATACTAGACAAATAGTTAATTGACTTTATGCATTGCTTCAATAAAATATTTAATAAAATTTGTGCAGTTGCTGGGCAAAGAAATAGTAAATAAGACACAGACCCCATCCTCAAGGAGCATGTCGACTGGCAGGGGAGACAGGCAAGTAGAAAGTTGTTTTTTTTCCTACTCTTGAGGACAAGCAACTAGTTCTCAGAAATGAAGCTCTGAGGGATTCTGCTTATTTCCATAGCTACCTGCCTTCCACACATCCCCTTGATACTCTTCACTCTCTTATCCAACTCATAAAAAAGTTTTGAGAGTTTATAAAAGAGCAGGCAGGGAGCCCAAAAACTATGGAATCACCAATAATACTGGATTAGAAAGTATTGGGTACTTCTATGAACAGCAGTGACAGCATATCTGAGAATAAAGTAACTGTACTTAATGCCTCCTATATGAAAGACCTTTGGCACATTGTAGGCATGATCATAAAGGCTACAGCTAGAGAATTACTGTGCCCAGCTCTGAAACTTGAATATTGATTTGTACACATTGACAGAAGAACCAAGAGACAACACACGACCACCACGTTGTAAACACATCTTAAGAAAGATTTCTTTATATTCACTGTAGCCACACTCTATAGATACATATACATATCTTTCATTAAGTGTCTAGTTTGTCTTACAATAGTCTTTTATGTGCTTAAGACTCCTTTCTAACATTTATAAAATAGGATGGTATTGAGTGTAACAGTAACAGTTCAGTGAAATTAAAACAGATTGAATATATTGCACATAGATGTAATCTGTAATTTTAATAATTTAAGTATAAGACCAAAGCAGTGTGGGCAAGAAATATACATTTACAGTAGACATGAAGAGCAATTTTACTATCTCTGTATCTGACATTTAGGAGACCTCTGAACTTTATGAGTTACATGAACTTTTATTTTGAAACGAAGACAATTTCCCTAATTTTACATTTAGTGATTGCTTACTAGCTCATTCTTTTATCTTTTCTGTTTTTATGTATTCAGTGGATTTGAAGATATAAAATTTAACGAAAAATTATTCCTTTTTGTTCAAAGCAATAAACATTAATTATAAAAATCCAAACAAAATAGAAAATTATAATGAAGATAAGCAAACAATACTCTAAATCCTTTTAAGTAGGTATTTTTAATAAAGTAAAATTACCAACTAATTCACAAGTATTTATTTCAGGCATATAAGATGCTAGATACCATGCTGGATATTCAGGGGATGCAGAAAAGTATTATTCCCTGCCCTCTTGAAATTAATGGTCTATAGGAAGGTCACCTAAAAACTCTAAGAAGTATCTAACAAGTTGCATACTAATAAATAAAGGACAAGTTGGTATTAGCTATCACCTGTTTCCTAAATGAACACTTACGTTCATGCAAAACCTTAATAAAATGTAGCTAGGCCTTCTATATCATGCAGACCCTCCAAAATGTATATGTAACATCCAGTTCCATTTTTTAATCTTTCTCTTAAAATGTCTGCCTCTGACATATTTTCTTCCTTTTTCATGTGTTATATTGCCTTCCATCTTTGTTCCCTCTTCATTCTTGGGTTACTTTTTCTTCTCTTCCCTTCTTCTTTAAAATCCTCAAATAGACATTCTTCAGAATGCTTCCAGGAAAGTATTATAGATGAGGCCAGGCTCAACAAAAGACTGGAGGGTGTGAGTGCTTCTCCCTCCTCCAGAGCCCCTCTCCATGCCTAGTCCACCCACAACCATTCTCCCTCCCTTCTCCTCTTCTTCCTTCGCTCTGGAGGAGACCTACATTCTAGGCCTAACTTGCCAGGTATCTGGATACTTTAATAATGAAAATAATTGATAGTTACTTTCCACTAGCAGCCCACTTGCAGATGAGGAAAAAAATGGGGGGGGTGTAAAGAAGACGGGGTTCTAGATTTCAATAACAGCCTATCATATTCAAACTATCTCATTGTCACCTGTAAAAATCACCAACAAATTCATTATTTACAGTCCAAGAGCAAAGAAGCAGCCAAACTATTCTATTACTGTCTTCAAGAAGCATGTTGTTGACTTAATCTGCTAGTAATCACCAAATTAAAGTGATTTTCAGTCTGCCAATCATCAGGTCAAGTCATTCAACCTCTTCAGGCCTTAGCACCCTCAGCTGAAAAATGTGGTCTTTGAATAAATATATTATTTATTTGAATAAATATAAATAAATAAATATTTCTGAGGTATAAAATTTTATGATTTGAGTATTCAAAGGAATTGAAAGAATGCAAAGGTCACAGAAGTATGTCCTGAGTTTAATAAGGGACCTGGATAACACACACACACACACATACACACACCCACACCCACACACACACACACACATCCATACACACACACACACACACACACACACACACACACACACACACACACACTGCAATGATGCAAATGTGTTTATGTACCAAAAGCTAATTACATTTTTTAAAAGTACTGGAAAATTATAAACCCCCATTTTCACTTTTTAGATATATTATCATCTACCCACACTAGTGACCTTCCTTTAAAAATAAATAAGAAAATGTTTTATGACTAGATAGGTCATATTAATAGGTCAGATTAAACTTGATATGAGGTTTGGCCATTTCTCTTAGTCTCACCCACATATGTAGTGCCTGTAAATCTAGTGGTTTTAATTTGAAATATTATTTCAAAAAGCTAAAAATAAGTTAAAGGGCATACACAGGTATAACAAAAATGAGATTGCTTACATATATCATAGAATAGTGCATTTTAAATTTTTAAATTTAAACCTAAAAGGATGAATTTAAAAAAATAATTGTGATAATCTTTTCTATAACTTGGTAGAACTTTTTGAACTTACTGTGACTTTAAGGCTGATCTAGACTACAGGCTCTTGGCCTAAAATCCAGGGAAGAAGGTCCATGCCTGTGATTCAGGGAATTCATGAAATCCTGGAAATCAGATGACATATAGTGTGTGTAGATTCATTCTTTAATGGTGAAAATGCAGTGCTTCCAACAGAAGACGTTTTGATTCCAATATATTCAAGAAACACTGGCTTCTATTTCAAGTCCTTGTTTTAGTGATGAGGGTACTGAAGTCCAGAAATGGCTCGGGGTTGCTGGGGACCACAGCTAATTAGCTGCTGGGCCAGAAATAGATCTCGCATCTGCAGTAGAGCCATCAATCCAGCTGCTTCCTTCTCTGCATGCAATAGATTAGTCATAAAATGGGATATGGAATCCTTTTTTCTTCCAGAAAAAAAATAGAGGAGGATTGAAGTTATGAAATGACATCTAAGGAAAAATATAGAGGCATGCCATGGAGATCAGAAAATAAACCCCAGCCCTGGATTCAGGCAATGGATGTCCTTTCAGCAGAAAGCAACAATTTGAGGACTGGCTTTTCCTATTCCTGCTTAATGCCCCACCATTCATGGTGAATTTCTTTTCCGTTGCCTTACAGTTGTCCTTGGTTTATCTTCCCTTGTATCTCATAGCAGGCTTTCTCCTCGGGTGTGAGAATGCATTTTCCCCCTTCACTCCCTTCCCCTACATGTATGTTCCTCACGGTTTTTTCACTTCACATGCCATTCTGTACACCCTGTGAGAAGAGGGCCCTGATCTGTGGCATAGAACGCATGAAGGATTCAAGCCAACAGAACGAATCTGCCTGAATGTCCAGCAGACAAGCGGCCATGCTAGTTCTTCCTGAGCACAGGTCTGCTGCAGCCACCTCACTGGCCCAAGAACCAAGCACACGAGGGCACACAAGCATTGAAGAAATGATAGGAAAGTACCAGAAACAGAACGCCGACTCTAATGTTTTTCTTCTACTTTTCTAGCCTGTGAGGGAACACGCTGAAGAAAAACTAAGCAGCAGGTGATGACAGAGACTTGTTTCTGAGCTCCTTACAACACGTTTCTCTCTTTTTAAATCTTTTCCAGTTGGCTCACATATTACCCACAGAAGAGAATTTCCTGCTGCTCTTCCGATGCCAGCAGCTGAAGTCCTGTGAGGAATTCATGAAGGTATAAGAAAGTTGTCCCTTTAAGAAAGCTGCTGAAAGTAGGAAAATTGTTTGTTTTATTAAAAATGTGTTTGTTTTCCTTATCCAAAATTATTTACAGACATGGAGAAAATATGATACTGACCACAGTGGTTTCATAGAAACTGAGGAGCTTAAGGTAAGCAAATAAAAACCTGTGCTAACTTTTTCCTTTCAAATGCAATTACGAACTAAGAGCTTCCTAGCTTTTTAAAAAACCTCCCACAAAAGAAACTAATGTTGAACAGTGTCACGTTTTCACCTACTCTTCGACATTGTTAATGAAGTACCAGATCAAAGAAGACTTCAATTGCTTCTTAAAATTCTGTAGAGTAATGCAATAAATAAACATTTTCTGTGGAGTACACAAATAAAAGACAGACAGACATAATTATAGATAAGCCGAATAAGCCATTCATTTTATTGAAATTTGAAGTTTTACTTCTCAAAATAAACACATATGGATTTTCTTACAAAAGAAAAAGTTACTGAATAGCTACTGTATGCCAACTATTTTACACATAATGTCTTATTTAATCTTTGCATGAGTTCTATGAGATTTTATTACCCCAGTGAGGAAGAGTTGAGAGAAGTTAAATAATATACTGAAGGCCACACAGAAATCGGAGAGAGGCATGATGTGCAAATCTAGGCTAGTCTGCCTCCAAGGCCTGTAGACATTCTGTACAACCTACTGTCTCTCAACAACAACGATGATAAAGAAAAATCTCCTATAATTAAAATTTTGAAAAATTGCAACTGAGAAAATGAATTTGTCACTTAAGAAAGATATAAAAGAAAAGGCAGAGATATGAAATCAAGTCTTACCTCATTAATTACATCTTTCTAATTTTCTTTAATCTTTAAAATGAGGGTAATAAATCCTTCCTCTCAGGCTTATTGTGAAGCTCCAGTAATATTCTGCACATGAAAGCTTTTGTGACATGTAGCATATAATAAATTATATTATTCATGAACTCAATTTACTAGCCTTTCATGAATATGGAAGTATTCTTCTCATTTCCTCAGACCGATCCCAAAACATGTCCATCTGAAAGACCCTACTTTTTCTATTTTTAAAATATAGAGTGACTAAAATATAAGTGAGTTAATGTTTATTGACTGTGTGTCAGGCAGAGTACAAGGTACCAAGGTGCTTGAAATGTATTTTAACATTTAATCCTCACAGAAAATATGCAAAGCCGGTATTATCACTCGTAATATACAAACAGTGAGATTGGGGTGCAGAGAGATCTAATTAGAGAGATCTTTAAAAATCTCTCTAATTTTTTAAGATTACACAGCTGCCTAAGAACAGAACCTAGATTTGGACCTAGAATGTCTGATTATGCTAAGAATGATACCCCACCCCACCACAGCACTGCACTCTTTCAGACTTCATTTATTAAGAGCTACGTCTTTTGCTGCTATGCCGGGAAATAGGAATATCAAACAGTGCTAGTCATAATTCAATGTAGTTTGAGTAGAATACAATTTTAAAGATGGAACTGGGACATTTGGACCATGGCAAAATGGCTAAAACATATTCAAGTGTATCCTCTTGAAAATGTAAGCATTTTGAATGTGAAGTCACTGAAAATAATGTATTTACAAACTTGCAGCTCAGCAACCCACAAGGTGACAGTTAAGTCACTGTGTTTTTATTTTATTAGTTAGACCAAAAATATTCTTTTAAAGATCCTTTCTAGTTCAAAATGAAAACCTTGTTCATTTCCAATACTGACCTCAAAATATTCTAAAAGTCTCCTTTGTTCTAAATTTTATTCTCAGAAAGAGATTCTAAATAGAAGTCCTCTTCCCTGGGGAATTTTGAAGATAAGTTGGCATTCTTTTTTAATGGATCTTTCAAGAAAGCTAATTTTAAGATCCATAATAGAGTAAAACATCACTTGCTCTCAGACACGACTTTGAATCTCTGCGTCCCAAAGTTTCTCCCAGGCTATTTTTGTGACCACCATTTTAGTCTCTGATGAGGCTTTTTAACCCAATTAATCTCTGACAAAAGCCCTGTAAGGCTCAAAAATAAAATTCAACCCCAAAAGATAGCTGAATTTTCCATGCTTCTCTTTGGATTTCAAGTGGAATATTTAAAGTAAAAATATTTATCAAAGTAAGAAAAGGGTCTCTTTCCTTTTAAAAAGTGTTATCAAATCAGCCCAGAATTGGTACAGTTCTGAGGGAGATAAACCATTGCTGAATTGAAAAAAATCTAACCCTTAAATAATATCTGGATATAGTATCTGCCCAGTTTTTCCTAATTGCATTCATTTTCTGAGAAAATAAAGGAGTTATGAATGAACAGCACTAAACAAAATGAGTGACTATTATATTCTTAAGTGCTTACATGCCACTTACATGGCAAATCTTTGTAAAGCTTTTATTTGATTTACATTTCTGTTTAAAAAATTAAATTCACTCCTAAGCTCCAGCTGTCAAGTTAATAATCATCTTGTTTTTCATCCTTCCCACTTCAATCTCTATTTTAATATGATTCATATATCTTTCAAAGATTCAATGACATCATCTGTGGCCAATTTTGTTAATTTGAATAGTCAGCGGAAGCATTTTAACCAAAGTGCTTTGGACTGCATCAAGCCAAAAACTAACCAACTGGCCCTCTGGAGAAATGAGTATCATAGTAGCTATAAACTGATGTGTAAATACAGCCTGGGGTCGGGGGAGGCAGAAGTGGATTTGAAATTACAGATAGGTCTCTATCTGGTTTACTAATAATTTTTTGTACATAGTCCAAAGGTATAAAGGCCCTTGTGCTTCTTGCAGAACAATCCCTTGAGTACTTGTGAAGGTATCAGCAAGCAGAAATGCATCCACTGGGCTGGCTGGTTTTAAAAGGTTTTATTCAGATTAATTGAAATCATGAAATCATGGTAATGCACAGATAATGACCAATCAAGTCTCGGTAAAAAGCAGGTATTATTCCTGTCAGAGGTAGTTTCATTGCTGGAATACCAAGAGGACCACCTGGTTGGTCTTTCCTCTATTATAAGTTCCCCTACTCACCTGCTTATACCCTCAAAAAGAGACTTTCTTTGCATTCCTGGTACGTCCTGTTCCAAGGCATTCTGAAATGAAAGTAGACAATATATTGTCAATGAAATTTATCTAAATGTTATTTGTTTTAACAGAACTTTCTAAAAGACCTGCTGGAAAAGGCAAACAAGACCGTTGATGATACAAAATTAGCTGAGTATACAGACCTAATGGTAAGACTGATCTTGTAAAGATTGCAGCTAAGAGCTCATGAAATAGTATAATGTTCTTGCTAATTCCCAAGACCACACAGTATGAAATAAGCAAGCAGTGGTGTGGGTATCATATGCACATAGGTAGAATTCCATTTGAAAACTGAAATACTTAGGGATGCCTACATCTTGTCATTTTGTGTGCTGCAGACATTGGCTTTGAGACTCAACATATGAGCATTTTCTTTCCTGTAGAGCTGTGTAATTTTTATCTATCAAAAGATGACTTGCTTTTCTTCCAAAGCTAGTGTAATTATATCACTAAATTATATAACTTACACATGTATAAGGTAAACTATATATATATAAATTATATCACCAAAAACTCACTTATTATAGAGGTCCTGAATCCATTTTTATCATAGTTTGGGAAATCATACTTTGTTAGAGTTTAAAGAGGCTGTCTAGCTACTTTATTAATTAAGCAACTTAAAATGGGTTTCCTTCTTTCTTTTGATTTTTGTTATTTGGTGGTTTTATATTGGTGCTTATAAAGGAAATCTAAATATGCCCTGAGGCTGATGCTATGGTAAATAGTGATATCTAATATCTTCTATAGAATGTTGATGAGCCAAGAAAACTGTTTTACACATAGGCACCTACTGTTTTAGGGGGAAAAAATGAGCAAATAAATAAGGTTCCAGATAAAATAAACCAATGTCTATGAAGTTAGTTTCTATTGGATGAAGTTTGCTTATTTTGACTCATCACAGAAGTAGGATTACCAGGAGATACATATATTCATACATGCTTTCAGTACAGTGAAGGTACTGTGAATTCTTATGCCATGGATTTAAATCAATAAACCATAAGCATAGCTCTATACTATAGAAGCTGCTGTTATATTAAAGGAGTTAGACTTTTTAATTACTCTGAGAAACAATCTTATAAAGGGTTTGATTATATTTGATGTAACCAAGGTTTGCTTTCAGCATCTCAGCTTACTTTTATGGGAGTGGGGGGCCGGGGGGTGGAAACCCTACCAGAACTTTACTATTGCCTTATTCACTAAACAGTGCTATTATAAAGTGGGGCTACGCTTTAGTTTCAAAACAACCAAAAAGGTTTTCATGATCATCTTTAATTCCTCATTACATCTCCACTTACAACAGCAATAGCAAACAAATGGGGGAAGAGTTTCTTGCTATGTGCCACAATCGGCAGATCTAAGCTCTGAAAAAGTTTTGGGTAATGGACAATAACCTACATTTATCAATTTTCCACTTTGTTCCAATCTTAAGGGATGCCTATTTAAAGAAAGGCTCCTTTCCAGGTAGAATATTGAAGCAGTCTTCCAAAACCCACTCAGATGGGAGTTTCCCTCTGTTGGATTGGCCCGACATTATCTGATTAAATGTCATAAACCAGTTCAAATCCAGGAAGCAAATTAATCAAGAGCTAATTAAAATTTAAATATATATGCTGGGAAATATTTCCCTATGGGCACAAAACTAAGTGATCGAGCTGTCCAGTATCTTGGTAGAGAGTGTGACAATATCAGAATATTACGGTCAATGGATTATAAACTGTTTTGTCAGCATGTGACCCTGAAAAAATCCGCCTCCTACAAAAGATTCTTAGAACATCTTAAACCATAGAATACTCTTCATTTCCTCCTCAAAAAGATGTCACTAAACCTATATCCATTATAACACTGGACACATTCTGTTCCTTAAAAACAATGTTAATTTTTCACATATTTAGTGTTCACTTAGTATATACATTTTATATATGTAATGTAATTAATATATACTACTTTGATATATTATACCAATAGTTGCTACTGTCTAAACAGATGAATGCTTCCCAAATATGGGTATGAGTGTGTTTACATCTGGATGTGTCTTTGTGAATGATGTCTATATAAGTGCAGTGGGAAGTTGGAGGGCTTTATTGAGTTTCTAATGCCCAATAGAAAATAAAACAATTCAAAAATTATTCAAAAATTCTATTCTCTACGGATTTATTTGTTATCTGTTTTCTGCTTTTGTTTGTGCTGTTCTATGCTCTAAAAGGTTGAAATAAATTAAATATTTATTTTCCTATTGGAGAGACTCCAGAAATGCAGTAAACCCTCAGACGCCATCCCTCCCACATCTTGACACACATACAAATGTATTTGCAATTTAAAAAGTAACAGTGTTCTAGGAACTTAGCTAAGACCACTATTGCTGTTTGACTATTCTATATTATTCTGATAAACTCTAGCAATTGACACATTACAGAACTGAAAATTTGCATTGAAAGTTTAGCAGTTCTCGTTTCTAAAATTTTACTGTATATATACAAGTAGTTGATAACTCAAGCAGCTTTATTTTGAAGTTCATCTCCTTCATGCAATAAATCATTCCTCAAATAGCTAGAATAATGGCATTCTATCTTTCAGCTGAAACTATTTGATTCAAATAATGATGGGAAGCTGGAGTTAACTGAGATGGCCAGGTGAGTTTAGGAATCATGAAAAATGTTATCATAAGTGGGTCCTTTTCAAAAAATTTAATAATTAATATATTGTTTTCTCTCAAAAGGTTACTGCCAGTGCAGGAGAATTTTCTTCTTAAATTCCAGGTATTTAACTTTTTACTACCTTAAATAATATTTTCCTTGAAAAGCTAGAATGTGGGAGACTTGTCAAGGGAAACATGCTGAAACATAGTAATAGCACTTTAACATTTACTCTCTTCGCTGTCTTTAGGGAATCAAAATGTGTGGGAAAGAGTTCAATAAGGCTTTTGAGCTCTATGATCAGGTAAAAAATTATTACTTTTTTCCTTTTTTATTGCAGTAAGAACACTTAACATGAGATCTTAACAAATTTTTAAGTTTAAAATAAACTATAGAGACAATATTGACAGATCTTTAGAATTCACTCATCTAATATAATCGAGACTTTATGCTCATTGATTAGTAACACTTCATTTCTCCTTCCCCCAGCCCTGACAATAACATTCTATTTTATGAGTGTGACTATTTTAGATACCTCATATAAGTGGCATCATGCAGTATTTGTCTTATGCTGATATTGCTTGATAATATGTAGTTCTATTTTTAATTTTTTGAGGACTCTCCACACTGTTTTTCATAATGGATGCACCATATTTGCATGTCCACAAATGTGTATAAGAGTTCCAATTTCTCTTCATTCTCACTAACACTTGTGTTTTATCTTTTTGATAGCCATTCTAACAGGTGTCAGGTGTTCTCTTAATTTTTATTTCTCTGATTAGGAATGTTGAGCATTTTCTCATTTACCTGTTGGCCATTTATATATCCTTTTTGGATAAATGTCTTCTCAACTTATTAACCCTTTTTTTAAATTGCATTATTCATTTTTTGCTATTGAGTTATAGTTCTTTACGCATTTTGGAAATTAACCATTTTGGGGATGTGGTTTACAAACATTTTCTCCCATTCTGTAGGCTGCTTTTGCACTCTGTTGATTTGTTTCCTTTGCTGTGCAGAAGGGCTTAAGTTTGATGTAATCTCGCTTGTCTATTTTTGCTTGTATTTCCTTTGCTTATGGTTTCATATCCACGAAATCATTTCTAAGACCAAAGCCATAAAGCCCTTTTTAATGTTTGTTTGCTTCTAGGAGTTTTACAGTTTCAGACCTTACATTTAATTTTTTAATCTATTTTGAATATATTTTTATATGGTGTAAGCTAAAAGTTCAATTTCATTCTTTTGCATGTGGCTGTACAGTTAACCCAACACTGTTTGTTGAAAAAAAGCTATCCTTTTCCCATTTTGTGTTTTTGGCACCCTTTTCAAAGATCAGTTGACCATAACATATGAAACCAAGAGCTCATTAGTCTATGTTTCTATTTTTGCTTCAGTGCCCTACTATTTTAATCAATGTAGCTTGTAATATATTTTGAAATCAAGAAGTGTGATATCTCCAGGTTTGTTCTTCTTTCTCAAGATGATTCTTGGCTATTTGGGATCTTTTGTGGTTCTGTATGAATTTTAGTATTTTTTTATTTGTATAAATATTGCCATTTGGATTTTGGAAGTGATTGCATTGAATCTGTAGATGTGCTTGAGTAGTACAGACATTTTAACAATATTAAGCCTTCCAATCCATAAACACAGGATGTCTTTCCATTTGTTTATGTCTTTGTTAATTTCTTTCATCAGTATTTTATAATTTTCAATGTATAAGTTTTTCATCTCAGTTAACTTTATTCCTAAGCATTTTATTCTTTTGGTACTATTGTAAATAGGATTTTCTAATTTCCATTTCAGATAGTTTATCATCATAACTAATTTTCAATTGTTAATTTTGCATCCTACAACTTTATGTAATTTGTTTACTAATTTGAACAGTGTTTTGTGAAGTCTTTAGGGTTTTCTTTTTATATAAAGAAAATCATTTTTATATGAAGAAAACCATTTTTATATAAAGAAAATAATAAAATTACACGACCAACTCATTCTTTTCATAGGAAAGATATTATGGTATGTCCAAATTACACAAACCTTGATTCGAATCCCACATTATGATTTACCTGCTTTGAGACTTTGAACAAGATACCAAACTCATGGGAGCCTCAATTTCTTCATTTGTAAACAAGAGATAATAATAACACCAGTTTGCAGGATTGAATGAGGATTAAGCTAGGGGAAAATATCCAGCAAAATAAAGGTTATTTGTGATGTCACTAGGTCACACCCTTTGCTTCTAATTTGTTTACTCCTGGACCTGTGGCCTCTAGTAGAACTCTGCCACCCCCTGGTGTGACACGGAACAACATACCTTCCCCAGCCCTGTTTCCCTCACTTGTCCCAGAAGATATTATTAACATTAAGTGAATTACTAACATTAAGTGAATTACATGTGTAAGTACTTTGAAAAGTTCAAGATATTATACAAATGTAAGGTATTGAA